TGTACTTTTTCTTTGCTCTCAGGAGCTCACCTTGGTGAACTCTACTATCCAATGAGCAAAAGCTTATTCACTGGACAGTCTTTCCACTGGACATAACCACAGGAAAAATAACAAAGAAAGATGGGGACCAAGGCAGGGAAGGTGGAAGAAAAGGAGATGAGACAAAGACCACAACTGAAAGGAAAATATAATCTAAAGGAGAGAAGACCAATTCCCTGCAAGTGCTTCTTGCTATAAAGATTTTTTGTGTGTGTGTACCAGAAATAAAACTCAGGACTTTGTGCTTGCCAACCAAGCACTGTGCTGATGAGCTCTCTCCCTGACTCTATAAAGAATTCCCCCCCGCCCCCGGTACCGGGAACCGAACTCACGACCTTGCGCTTGCCAGGCAGGCGCTTTGCCGCTGAGCTAAATCCCCAGCCCTCTATAAAGAATTTTTAAAACATAAATTTAAAAGCTATAATCAAAGTCAAACTGAATAAGTAAAGAAAACAAGGGAGGGTTGTGCAAATGGAACAGGGACCAAAACAACACTATTACAGAAATAATAAATAGGAATGATGAGAAAAGCGAACAATCCAAACCAATACACCAACAAAAAATAAAGCTTTGAATTCATCATAGAAGATGAAAGCTGTAAAAATAACTGAGAGAATTGTATAGGAATGGAGACAAAAATGTGTGTTCTTTAAAGAAAACTCAATATTACATACAGAACAGGAAAAAATAGCAAAAAGCAAAATAGAAAAAAAATCCCCACAACCCACAGGAAAAATTGAACTTGAAGCATGATAGAAACTGTGCTACCCAGATTTCTGTTGCTATAACATAATACCTGAGACAATCAACTTACATGAGGGAAGGTTTATTTTGTCTCACAGTTTCAGGAATTTCAATCCACAGAGGAGAGGACGACCCTAGAACAAATGTCCCAAAAGAAAACTATATGAAATTCTAACAATAAAGGTATTTTTAACATCTGAGGGGGAAAAAAATACTCTTAAGGGATGAAAATGAAGCCATGTTCCACTTTCCCAAAAACAATAACCCAATGGTGGGAGGCAAAGGGCAATGCCTACACAGTTCTGAAAGAAGAGTGTTCTTAAGTCTGACCTATACAGCTGAATAATCCCACATGAGTCCCCCAGCATGAGTCCTAAGATGTGCCATTTCCAACAGAAAAGGACACACAAAACGAAGCATTTCACACATCCCTGGGTGATAAGAGAGAAGGATTCTCCACCATAAGATACAACCAATCAAAGATCTATGGAAAAATTGTGATTTTAAAATGACACAACACTTGATAGAAATCTTGTACTAGATAAGCTGTTCTCGTCTTGTGGGAAGCTAAGAGAGGAAGCAAGAATAAAATACCCATGTGTAGAAAATTACTGAGAGGCTGGGGTGTTGCTCAGTGGTAGAGTATTTTCCTGGCATGCACAGAGCCCTATATTCCAGTACCAAAGAAACAGGAGGGAGGGGAAGGAGAGGAGGAAGATGGGGAGGAGGAGGGAGAGAGGGAAAGAGAGAGGAAAAGGGAGAGGGAGGAGAGAGAATTATATTACTAGGCAAAGAAATATCACTCATTTTTTTAAAAATGTAATAAAGAAGCCTTGATAAAGGAATTAAAGGTGAGCATAAGCCCATGTTTTAAATATCTAAGACCAAAGGACTTGTGTAATTGTCATTATGGAAGACAATGTAAATATTCAGCCATGAAAATTCAAAAGCAAGTGAAGAAGAAGCCTGTTAAGAAGCATGAGAAATGGAAGTATTCATATTTCTTCATTTGCAGCAGCAGGAAATCAGCTGCCCCATCCAAAATTGAAAACTGGAATTTATAAAAGCAAGAGATTCCCCAAGCTTTTCATCATCTTTTTCCCCCATAATTTCCAAGAAATATTTTAGGAACTCTAATCACCAGTGGTGAAGAAATGGGCCTGAATCTCAGCAGTTCCCATTTCAGTTCATTTCCTTCTATTAAATTCAAGTAAAATTGAATTTGAAATATCTCCAAATATAGCTTTCATTTTTATAAAAGCACTTTCATTTATATTAAATTACTTCTCTCTCTTTTTCTCTATGACTATAACCACAAAGATATGAGGAGGGAAAAGAAAAAGATTTGGAAATGATCTGCAAGCAATATAAACAAGGATTATTTTAGATTGAGTTGGCAAACTGCAGCCCACAGGCCAAACCTGGCCCAAAATAAAGTTGTATTGGAACACAGCAGCACCTGTTTGTTTACATATTGTCTGTTACAGTTCGTGTCTAGATGTCCCCTAAGGCCTCATGTGGTCATATTGTTTTTTCAGAGGTGGCTAAATCTAGAGTATGTGATTGATTCATGGTCTGATGATGGGATTAAGAGTGTGAGGGTGCTGTGGAGTCAGCCAGACATGGACGGAACGGTCTGAAATTGTGAGCCAGAGTAGGCTTCTTCTCCGTAAAGTCATGGGTGTCAGGTGTTTTGTCCCACTGACCTGTACAATCTGTTCCTAGTGAATAGTGTTCCTAGTGAACTCACCCCTAGGGTGAGTAGCCCACACATCATATAAGGAACAGAAAGAGGCTTGCCCCTTCTCTCTCTCTTGCTGCTTTGCTGTCTTCTGCCACCATAAATAGTCACCCCTATGCCATGCCCCCCTGCCTTAGAGCCAGCCAATTATGGACTGAAACCTCTATAAACTATGAGCTGAAGAAACCTTTCCTGCTTTAATTTTTAGTGTTCGGTATTCTGTCTCAGCAACAAGAAAAATAACTAACACGTCCACCACTGCTTTCTCACTGCAACCGCAAGTTCAGTTCTTATGACACAGACATCTGGCTGACAGAAGCTAAAACATTTACTCTGTATATACACAGCAAAATATCCTGATCCCTGCACATGGGTGCAAGATTTAGGGGATGAGGTGTTTGCTTTTTGTATTTTACTTTCTTCTCCATTATGTCTTATAATTGTATAACATTGTTAATGGGCATTATACAGTTTAATAAAATAATAGGGCCATTTTTGTCCTTGAAAAAAAACACCTTCCACTTGGAAATCAAGATGCCTGTTCACTAGAATCAGATTGCACAGGTCACTGGGACAAAGTACTTGACACCCATGACTTTAAGGAGAAGAAGCTTACTTTGGCTCACAGTTTCAGACGGTTCCGTCCATGTCTGTCTGACTCCACAGCAGGAGCATCATGGTGGAAGGGCCTGACGGAGAGAAGCTGCTCAAGTAGAAGTCAAAAGAGAAGGGAACACACCCTCCAGGTCAAGCCCCCTAGTAACCAACATGCTCCAATCAGACCCCCACTCCTAACAGCACATTCAGCTATGACTCCATCAATCCAATTCATCCACCGATGACTACAGTTCCCCCATGATCCAGTCAGCTCCTAAAAGCCCTCCTCTGAAACAGGCTTTGGGGAGTACGCCAGATCTACATCATGACATGGATAGTTAAGCCAAATGACTTCCTCGTGCACCTCAAGTTTCGTTCTCTTCACAAACATCACCCTGCCATCTGAGAGGCTGGTGTTTCTATCAGGAAGACTCAAAACAAACAGAGCTAGTGTGTGTCAAAATCTCTGCCTGGCAGTCAGCTGTCCATCTGAAGAAGCCAGTTGTACCACTGTTCTGGTAAACAGTTTGAGAACACTGTCCAGACAAAGATGGTGGGTAAGAAAAGGCGGACAAAGAGAAAGGAAAAAGTGCTTCTATGTATGTAACATTCGCCAAAATTACGACCTTCAGCAAATATCATATAACTCATTAAAAACTTCATTTACTGAAATTAAAATGGAAGTGCCCCAAGAATTAGAAGCAAAGAAAAGCTAATAAGTCCTGCTAATGTGTTTAAAACTATTTCTCAACTGCACACTAATTTTCCTGGGCCTAAGTAAGGTCTTTTTCAAGGACTCAAATTATTAAATGTTGCCGTCTGCATAATCCAGCGAAGGCCTGTCAGTGTCTGAAATCCCATCTGGTCCACGTGCCAGAGAGCTTGTCAAGCTGAAAGCCAGAGGAGGAAAGAATCCAGCCACGTGTGCCCCCACTTCTAGCCCCGCCCTTCAGGCCCCCTGAACCCTCCCACTGCTTTACCAAGAAAACCTTGTTGATCATGTGAGCAGCCCAAGCGTGGGGTGGCCACCCACACCCCCTCCAAACCCCACTTCCCCAGCATCTGTGATTAATTAATTACAGAGCGCTCCCAGGGCACAGAAGCACCAGTCCACAGATAAACCATCCATGTTAGAAACAGGAAAGGGATTAAGAGCCATGAGTTAAGGATTTTCATAATTCAAGATGTTTTCTGTCTTAAAAGAATTAATAATGTTGATTTTCTTCCTTCATTGAATAAATGTGCTTGTTCCAAGAACAGTAAATCTCTCCAAGTTCAATAGGAATCAGAATAAAAAGACTTTCAATAGAAACCTGCTTTCTTTCTGATTAGAAAGCAACACTGATTTTTAGAGAAAGGAAAAAATAACAGTAACAGGGTTGTTTTTTACTAAAAATGCTTAACTGGTACACTAACTATATCTAAACTCCAAGGACTACAAAGAGTTTTTCTTCATACTCCATCAGGTTTCATATATAACCAAAAGGTTTAAAATCAGTTTAACAGATAAATATTAAATGAATTGCGTACACAACACAAACTGAAGGTCTCTATGGAAAGTAAAATAAACTCTCATAAATTCTTGTCATGAATCAAAAAGCTAAATCCCAGAGATTTTACAAATTTTGTTGAAATGCTACGATTCCTCCCTATTTTATGATCAGTCATCCAGATGTTCAGCAAAATCTAAGATAGTCTCCTAAACACACATAATATTGTCTTCTGCACTGACCCCTCAGACATCACCACCCCACAAAGCCCTTCTGGAAGTTAACGAAAAATTTAAATAACCCCAGCCATGTAACAATTAATCTCAGACCCACTTTGAAACAGCTGAACCCCAAGGCCAAGGTCCCCTTAGGGAAGTCAATCTTCCTACCCGGGCACAGTTTCCCGGCCGTGATCAGGGGAGATGTTGTCAGCAACTTGAGAACAATCAACTTGCGATTCCAGATCAGAAATCCAATCCCACTGCTGAAACCCAGACGTTCTGTGTTTCATTAATCACTGCAATAAGCTAAAATACCCTGAAGGAGAAAAAAAAAAGAGTCAGTGGAGAGTCTTCAGGGTTTCAAACATATTAAATTTGATTCTTCACATGTCTAGACTTTGTAATTATATGCTGCCATGGTATGAATATATGTACCCTCCAAATTTATGCAGTATAATCTAATACCTAATGCAACAGTATTGAGTTAGCCTTTGAGGAAGTGGTATAGTATAGCCTCTGGATTCGTCTTCCTCTGAAAATGTGGCACGTTATTCTGATAAGCAGTTAAGATACTAACATGTCATCTTAATCCTGCCTAGTTTCAGGTTGTGACTTTAAGGCAGTCTGTTTCATCTCTGCTAGAGTCTTAGAGTGTGATCCTAATTCCTGGGACCGAGCCCTTCCTCCTTAGGTGAGCCTTCTGGGTCTCAATGTCCAATTCTGCTCTGGCTTTATGAGAAGTAGTCACTGTTGGCTATCAGGCCCTCAAGCTGTTCCCAGCTATACTTTGCAGACTCGCTCAGCACATCTGCAATGGAAGATCTGCTGAGGCTCTGAAGGAAACTCCTCCAAAGTGTTCTGGTGCTATTTCTCCTCAGCTGCCTCTTGCCTGCTACTCAACCCCCGAGTCTCCACAGTTTAGTAACCTCCTCCCTCTGTCTTGTTTTCCCCACTCAGACACAGCCACTCTCTGCTTGGGCTCCACACAGAAAGGGAGTGGACCCTGCCTTCTGCTTCCCTTCTCTGCAGACAGGCAAAGAGGTCCACCGTCCAAGGCTTACAGGAGGAGTTTGTACAATGTGTTGTGTTGTGTTCTGTTGCATTTTGGTTTGGCATGATTTTGGGTGCAGTTCTGGGAATTGAACTTGGGACTTGCTCACTGAACTACATTCCAATCCTATTTATTTATTTATTCATTTACTCACCCATTTATTTATTTACTTAGAGACTGACCTTGCTAAATCACTAAGTTACTCAGGCTGGACTCAGATTTATGATCCTCCTGCCTCAGCCTCCCAACATGCTGGGATTATGGGTATGTGTCACCAGGCCCAGCTATTCACCCACTTGGCCAACTATTAAATGTGACAGAAAAATAAACCTGTTACTCTTCCTTGACAAGAACAGAGAGTCCTGTGTATTTTAACACTTTGATAATTTTCACCACCCTAAGAATAACGCAGAGCTCTGAACTAAAGTCATCAACAACCATTTAGAAGTGAGTCCCAGCTGGCAATGTGAGACCTGAGTACCCTCGCAGCGCTCCCACCGCCTGCAGTCCTGTGAGCGCCTAACTCTCCACTGGGAAATCAACGAGAGAAGCTGTCTGGGTGCCACTATCTCCTGCAGCTCTGGCATACATGGGTGCATTCATGGGATAGACTACTCGGAAATGACACCAGCAGCTCCCGGGGAAGGACAAGTTGTTTCGGAAGCTCTCAATCCTTAAGGAGCTCCTTGAGGTTCCCCCTGCTGCCGGAAAGACCGTGCAGGACGGTCTGGGGCAGGACGGAGGCTGAGAGCCTGGGGCCAGGTTTAGGCACAAGGCCAGGCAAAAGCACGGGACTCAGAAGGGAGAGTCCCGCTGCGCTCATTTCCGCACTCACTTGCTGTGAGGTCCCCGTCACTGCTGAGCTTGCTCTCTCCTCTGCCGTGCTGCCAGCGAGGTGCTCAGGGTTCAGAGAAGATGGTGTGTGCAGTGGGGTAATGCGTGCGGGACCTTTTCTTCCCACGGATAAAGACGCACAGAAATCCCTTAGTAGCCCCTGAGAAATAGCAAACCATGCCAAGGCCTGAAGTACCTTCCTCTCCACCCTGTCTCTAACACCCCGCGCTACATGGACGGAGAGCACCGGTGGTCGGCAGCACCAGAGCGGCACCTCGTCGTGTCACTCTTCCTTAGCAATACGCAGGTTTTCGCTTAAGCCAAAGAGAATCGCTTTGGGTAATTAACATTACCTCAAGAAGGGAGCAGAGTAAATCTAGACTTTGAGAGATGCAAGGAGAAAACATCTCAGCCCAGGCCTCCTCAAACTCCTCCCTACATGCCCACCGGAAGTATTCTCAGAACTAAAGAAAGGCTGAGCTCACACGCAAAGGCACAGCCTCTGAGCCCCTCCTGGGCTTTGCCCCAAAGGAGAATGGCTGAGAACTAAGAACGGCTCCGAGGACACCCAGCAAGGTGCAGAGGACGAGATCCGGCTTCCTCGAAGGGCTGGTCTGCCTGCACAAACGGATGGACCAGAAACTGTGTTCGGCAGCTCCTCCACGTGGCAAGAAATAGCAACTGCAGAACTGCAAACCGTCACCACTGGAAAATAGAAGTTTGTAGAAATTTCCCTTTAGATTGCAAATGTTTCCAAACAAGCTTATGGATGATCCTTAAAGAAGCGGGAACTGACCCCAAGAGCAGGACAGTGGACCTGTGTCCAGTCTCCTGGGTGGACATCTGTGTTCCAGACCCACTCACACCTCTCCTGTACAAGCGTGAAGATCAGTAGCAAGGCTCCATACACAGGAGGTATTCAGTTAATTCTCATTATGAATCAATGCGAGCGGAGTTAAATAAGGAAAAAAGCATACGCTATGGGAAACATGAGCTCTTAGTCAAAATCATATCCCCTAAAAAGTACGCTTCATAAGGGTGGAATTTTTTGTTTTGCCCACTATTGAATTGCCAGCATTTAGAATAATGCCTAGCACATGCAACTGAATAAATATTTGTTTAATCCAATGTTAATGAACTGGGGAGGGAGAGAGCAAGCCCTCATAATGTACCACACAGCTGTGTCCCGATGCATTACTTCCCAGTACATAGTCCTGTGAACCAGGCATGGCGGTGCATGTTTATAATCCCAGGGCTCTGGGAGGTTGAAGCAGGAGGATCACAAGCTCAAGCCCAGCCTGGGAAACTCGGCAATTTAATGAGGCCCTGCCTCAAAATAAAAAAGGGCTGAGTATGTAGCTCAGTGTGTAGGCCATAGTTTTGGTCCCCAGTAAAGTACCACAAAAAAAGAAAGAAAAAGTACAGCCATGCTCCCTATAAGAGTATTTCAACCAATGCAGCGCACACAGATGCTAGTGGTTCCAGAGTGTATCACCTAGTGACATCAGAGCTATATATGTTTGTGTAAATATACTATTATGATGTTTGGACAGTAATATCGCCTAATGATACATTTCTCAGAAAGTGTACATTATCAAGCTGTTAGCTGCATTTACTAACAGCTTGAAGACAGACAGCAAAGGCCTGCTTACTGCCTTAACCAACATCAAGCTGGGAGAACTAGGTAAAACGATGCATGACTTACATGAAGATACCACACAAGAAGCTCAGTGCTAGAAACCTGGGCTGAAACCAGCATGAAATATAATTCACATGAATTCCAAACACAGGAGGAAAAAATGCAATGTTGGATTCCAGGCTAGAGACACCCCGAAGGGAAGCCTGGAAGGCTGACATTTGCAGCAGGGCCTGTGACACCTGGCCCACCTGGTGCAAGGGAGTGCCCAGAACAGGGGCAGAGCTGGGAGGTCATCCAGGGTCTCCCAAGAGTCATGCGGAGGGTACCCAGAGAAAGAGTAAAATGGCTAGCTGGGACACGTGGAAAGGCATCGCAGGAGGGACAGTTAAAAACAACTTGGGTTGCTGCGAAGGAAAAGAGACTCAGGAAGGACAGCACATATAGAAGTGCCTGTGGTTCTATGTACACTGGCAGGCCAGCTGAGCACCCAAGGAAATCAGAAGCAGGCTTTCAACAGTCTGTGCCGTTGGGAAGTAGGACTGACTATCCGGGGAAGTCGTGCCTTCTCTTTACGTATCTTTTTCGAGGGCCTTGCTTGACTCAAACTGCCAGAACAGAAAACATCTCTGATCTCATCTCCTCCTCCTAGCCATCTCAGACCTAAGCGTTCATTCACGCTGACCTTTGTTACCCAGCGCGCTCCTGTCTGCAAGACCGGCTGTTCATAGAACGCATGTGGACCAGAACTATACCATACAAGATGGGAAGTTATCTGACACGGGTGGAACCAAGAGTGTCTCAGGGTTAAAACTGTTTTTTGGATTTTGGAGTATTTGAATATACATATCGGCACATCTTGGTACGAAAACCATGTGTCTACAGGAAATTCACATATATTTCATACACACTTGATATGCATAGCTGAGTGGCAATTTTCATTTTTTCTCGGCGCGGGGCCTCCATGCATGTTAGGACTGGTGCTCTATCACTGAGCTACAGTCAACGTTCCCAGCCTTCTTTCTTCTTTTTTTTTTTTCCTTTGATAGTGTCACACGAAGGTGCCCATGCTAACCTGTAGAGTAGCTGGGATTACAGGCATGCACCACCACTCCCAGCAATTTTATACCATGTTTTTAATAATTTTATGCACGAAAGAAAATTTCACGGTATAGATTTTTCCACTTCTACTAGCGTTTGGGGATTTTGAGCCTTTCAGATTCATACTTCCAGATTGGGGGTACCCGGTCTATACCAAGAGATTATTGTCAAGATCTGAAAACGGCACGGGCATGAAGGAAAGCAAATTCCAGGTTCAATATTTGCTTGAAAATATTTCAACAAAGACCGACGAAAGGTGAAAATGTGATCAGGCAAAACAGCTGTGGAAAAATCTTGATAATGGGTGGATCCAGGCGGCGGGTAAGCAAGGACTCTGCTTCCCCAGGCGTGAGCACGTTTTCACACTGCACGGGAGAGTAGCGCTGCAGCGCCCCGCGGGGGCGGGAGGCGGGCAGCCGGCAGGGGGCGCCCGCCTGGACCCGAGTCCCCGGCGTGGGCGCTCCCGAGCGTGGGCGCTGAGTCCGCCCCCTGGTTCCGGAGCCGGAGGCGTGCTCCCCGCTGCCCAAGGCCACCCGCTGCCCTCCCGGGAGCCCTCTCCGCGAGGAGCGGGCGGGAGCGCGAGCCCAGCAAGGCGCGCATGGGCTCCGAGTCTCTGCGCTCTCCCAGGCACCCGCCCGCCTCGGCCGCCGCGGGGTCGACCCTGCCAGCCGCTCAGCAGCGTTAGCAG